GCGATCGGCACCGTCTGCAGAACAGGCATCACAGCAAGCTCAAGCGCGTGCGTGATAAAGAGGTTAAGGCCGCCGCCTTCAATCACTGGATGGTCTCCGTCGGTCACAACGAAAACGAAGCGTCGCCAGAGCCTGTGCTCGATGGCGGGTCGGAACTAGACGAGGAGCCTGGCGCTTCGTATGATAATGAGGGCACACCCGGGACTGGCTTCCCGCCTGCTGCGCGAGGAATGCGACGGACGAACCATGTTTGCTCTATCAAAGCTTGTTTCAATCTACTGGCGCCGACGAACCCATGGCGGATGTGTGATGTCTGTCGGGCGAGGGACCGGGCGCATCGCCGGGAAAAGGCTCTGAGAGATAGCGGGGTGATCACCACTCCGCCGCCGCGGGCGCCCCGGAAGTCGAAGGATGCTGGGGAATCTTCAGCTGATGGAGCCGGTCAAGAGCCAGTTGGAGGCGATGGGCAGACGATCGGCGGGACAGGCGGCGACCCACCGAAGAAGCCCAAGAAGAAGAAGAAAAAGAAGAAGGTGGCTGAACCAGTCGCTGTCCAGCCTGAATCCGGTGGAACTGGTGCTGCATCCGAGGTGGAGCAACAAGCAAGTGATGTAGACTTGTCACCGGGCGAATCGCAGGCCGCAGGATTGGTGTTCATGGCGCCGTTGCTGCCACCTAAGGTATGTTCTGAGATGAACGGGATAGAGTGGTCTCTCACTGTCATGATTCCATCTGGTTACGAAGTCCCCACCTCCGTCAATCGTCCAACAAGCTCCGCCATCAGAGTTATCCGCGGACCCTCTGCCGCTCGCCGATGTGCTGCCTACAGAGGTCGTGCCTCCCGCTGCGAGCCCTCTTCCAGCGGCTGTTGCATCCACGCGCCCTTTTCAGATCGTCTCAGCTGAGGAGATAGCTTCAAAATCTGCACAGGCTGAGAGCACCGCTGCGGCTCCCCGGAAGAAGCGGAAGGTCCAGAACAGTACAGCTAGCACGTCCAATGCTCCTGTGCAAATCAACGCTGAGGCATCGACTAGTACCGCTGGCGTTCTGGCTTCTGCGCCTTCTGCCCCGGTGCTTCCACCGCCAATTCAACCTGCACCTCCAGCCATACATGAAGTGCATCCGCTCCCACCATATCCTATCGATGCACCTCCGCCTGCCGCTCCGTACCCTCCATACTATGTGCCCCCGTACGGCATGCAACCATACGGCGGTCAACCCCCGTACCCGTATAGCCATTATGGTCCGCATTACCAGTATCCTCCGCCGCCCTATGGATATCAGCCGCCGTACGCACCCTACTCACAGCCTTACGCATATCCGCCCCTGCCACCGTACGCCCAACCACCGTACGGACCTCCACCATATCCTACGAATGTCTCGCCGCCACCCCCAGTGCAAGGAACGTATTCCGTCTCCGCGGATTTCGTCTCTCGCACAGACTATGCAGCAGAGTCACAGAACGTACGGCAACAGGGCGCCACATCGAATGGAGGCCCGCCCGCGCCGCACTATGCGACGTTCTCCGCGAAGACCGGCGAGCCGCACAATCGAGCATCGTCTATACCATCGGCCTTGCGGCGCAAGCGCCCTCTGGAGGGCGAGGGCATGTTCTTTGCGGGCAAGCAGCCGGCGCCGAGTACTAGCAGCTCGGTTGATCAGCCAACTTCTCCGCTGGTGCCTCCGGCGGTCCCACCTGCCGACAGTGAGGTCGCCGCTGACGTATCGAACAAATCGAGTGGTCTAAATGATATCGATGCAGTAGTCCAAGCGGTGCGTCCCAGACGAACGCGGGCTACGCAGCAGCACTAACTAGGGGTCGTCCAGCAGATGTGTAGCAATCAGAAGTGTCACCGACCGCTATCTGCCAACCACAATGGCAGTCTTTGCATACGTTGCAAGGAGCGTCTAAGGAAACGCTCCGAGAAGGCGAAGCAGCGCTTCAAGCTTGAGCCGCGCAAGCTTGCTGGCAAAGCCACGGTGGCCACCGATCGTCGTAGTACTGGCGAGGACGGGGACGAGCACGCGCATGCGGTTGGAGTAGAACACGTAATGAGTACGTGAAGCAGCATATGTAATTAACCAATATGTCTCTTGCAGCATCATTCCTGACACTCCATGCGAGGCTGCGACTCTGAATCAGATCATTCTCAGAAGGTGGCCTCGGCTGAAATCTCAGATTCAGAGCTGAATACCGTATATATATCGCAGGAGCAGGAGCATCGGCAAGCGAAGCTCAGGTACCTGCCGGTGGCCGTCTTGCATCTGTCAAAACATTACCTATAACCCCTGCTTTGTTACTAGTTGCTTCCATGTCCCACGTGCACGATCGCTGTGAAGATGACTGCACTAGCAGCGATAGCGTCCTTCGAGGAATGAAGAACCTAAGAATAAGGGATTCCCCCGGGAGGGCGTCGTCGTTGTCGACGATGCCCTGCGCAGACCTCCTCGTGGTCCCGGGGGGTGAGTAGTCCCGCAAGGGATGAAACGAACATGCGCTATAAGGCCTGCACTCCGCTGTTAAGCAGAGCGGCCGGGACTCTGCGCCCAACGACATCCGCTGCGACGGTTGCCAATCCACCCCTGTGTGGCACATGAGAGACTTCGTCTCCTCGAGCTCTGCTTTGCCAAGCTCCAATCCCCATCCCATACAACGTTAGTTCCAACCCTTCTACTACACTACCCAGCACGCCCTTGCTACCGGTTTTTTCTCTCTCTCTTCCCATCCCATACGAGGCATACCCAGACGCCAGCCACGGTGGCTGAGTGATGTTTACGTCAGCATCCAGCCACCAGACGCCCAACAACTAATCCATAACATTCTCACGCCCCAGGTGGCTCCAATGCGACTGCTCTCAGTCCCAATCTGAGATACGCTAGGCCCTCAACCATTCCATGTACCCATCCCAGGTACTTCATGCCTTTCTTCCCAATAATCTTGAGGCCGGCAACACCCAAGCCGCCTCACCCTACACCCTCCCTTGCGCGCTTATGCTCCCTGCATCTCCCACGTTCACTCCGAAATGATCGTACGAATTAACGCATAACGGCATTATGCTGCCATATAAACGCTCAGCTCCTCTATAAGAATAACTCCAACCCTTGGCTGAACAGAGAGTTCCAGACGCACCACCAACTATTTTGACAAACCATGCCCAACCCTCCCTACTACCATCCCAGCTGCCTCCCAGCCCACCTCATCGCTCCGCCCCAGCAGCAGATCCCCAACATCAGGAGACCTGTCCTTGCGCCACCACCTCCGCCAACCCTCCCTGCTCTCCATTTCTCCTCCGATCCCGAAACTGCAGTCCCGATCGAAGTGCGAGGACGACCAGAGAGGCAAGGCGCGTTCCTAACGTGGATAGCAGATGAACGCCCAACTGAACGAATTCGGAGCGACCAACTCGTGCGACTCTCGGCCGGCACCCTCCGATCTGGCCTAGGCCGCCTCGTGACCATCGTCTTCACCCAGCGACACTGGGTCACGTGGTCAATCGAAGGGGCGCCCGGAAACTGCGGCCTACGCGTCCCGATCTCATGGACCCACCTCAGCATCGAAGAACATCAAACTCACAATCGCCTATATCGTCACCTCCCCGCTACGCCTGCCCCCACCGATCCTTAATAGGAGACCCTCTACTGACGGGACCCGCCAACCCCTACGAGTTCGACGACGACGATGATGACGTGCTGCCTATCCCACGACCCTAAACGCGGAGCACTTCGGGCGGCCCCGCTCACGTCACCGTGACTACGCTCGGCCTCTACTCCAAAAATAGGACCAGCACGTGAAGCAACCAACGCCGGCACCCATACTGACTCCCTCGATCATCACCCGCACTCGAAGCCGACCCGTGAACTGCGATCAAAGAACCGCAATGGACCCTGACCAGGACCCTGTCCTACCGCCGCCCGCACGCACGTAAGCATTACTGTCATACTGTCAAAATCTCCAGGCCGTGGGCACCGTGCGCGCCCCGCCGTCAACTGCATGATCCCTCTCTTTTCTACTATAACCCACGCTCACGATGTACCAGCCTCCGCCCAACACTGGAACGATGAACATCGCTTTTGCGCAGCCAAACCGCGTAAAGGTCACTGTCGCCAAAGACCGCACCAACTCAGCAGCATCCCCGCCTCCGCGGCGCGTGAACATGCATTCCGTGAACACCGCCACCGCCGCACACCATCAGAAAGTGTCAAAAACAGAGTTTAACTACCACCGAGAGAGATCACCCTAAACAGTCCGTACCTTTTCCAACAAGTCCCCGAACTCACCCTGACCTGATGGCCTTGCGCTCGACCAGCGCTGAAGACATGCACACACCGATGACAAGCGATGCAGACCACGCCGCCTTCACCTCCACGGCACCAAGATGTCGCAGCATACTCTAGCAGTATTGCTTCGAGCCTACTCATCACGAAACGCACACGATCACGACTTACCATTCACCTCCCAGTCAATACGGCTACGATTTCAGACGACGCCCTTGGTACGCACATGCAGCGCCCAGCTGACAGCCGCGTGAACAGGAACGAAGATGACTAGGTAGATTACGGCTGTCGACCCTCCTTAACACCACCTCGAAACGGCGATGCGCGAGAACCGGACAACGCATACCGACGGTCCAATATTACCTCGACCAGTAAGCCCGTCACCACCGATCCTAAATGACCGCGCCGCGATAAATAGCCCAGCCGGGAACGCCATATTCCAGTTCTCCAGTTTCTGCTTCCCGCGCCCTCCAGCTCCCAGCTCTAACCTCTTGCACAATGCACCCCACCCTGACTCCCACTGCCTCGAACGACGGCACCGGACAGCCTCCCGCCGCCGACTGCCCCTCCGCTTCGATCGAACGCCTCCGCGCAGCCTCGCTCGTGAAGTCCTCTTCCCCGATCCGAGTCAACGCTGAGCCGCTCCCTCCGCCAACCGGCAATCCGTGGGGTCTCCCCGCGCGATCTCCCCAGTCAAGCGCTCGGGCTTCAGCTATGCCGCCGTCATGACCCGTCCCGCTTCGCCCTCGTCTGCGACCAAGGTCCCGCCGGCCGCCGACACCGCGAATCCGGCCCTGGGCGAGCAATACAAGGACACCGCGGCCACGACCGAGATCGCGCAAACTGCGTCGACAGAGACTGTCGTCAACGCAGTCGAAGTCAAAAGTAAGCCTATCTTCGTCTTACCTCCACATCTCCCCCTTCCTCACGCCTCACAGCGGAGGAGATCGAGCCCGACCTCAATGTAGGACGCACCCGCTCGGGCCGTCGTCCCTCGGCGTCGAAGAAAAGAGCTTCCAAGCCCAAGGGCAAGAAGACCCATAGACGCGACCGGAAGCCTCCGGCTGAAACCGAGGATGAGCTCCACGTCCCCAGCTCGTCTGAGGCCTCCGCCAAGTCCCCGCCGCACGCTACGCACCGCCTCACCAGCGACACACGCAAACGTCGCCGAGTGTCCACCGACACCGGCGACCACGACGAGAACGCCGGAACCGTCAACCGCGTCCAGGCCTCACCGTCTCCGACTCCCCGCGACGCACTTCACGCTGTCGACGAGGCCATCGTCATTCTCTCGTCCCCGTCTATCGGCGATGACAACCGCACTGACCCTCCCGCTATCACAACCTCGGACATCGAGCCGGAGGATGTAATCATGCGAAGTCTCGATGACAACGGTCCTCCTGCCCTTAGCCCTCGTACGTTCAACGTCGCATCTTCCCATGCCCTGAACTAACCCACTGTTCGCCGGCCGCCGCCGCGCACTCCCGACGCATACAGATGACCGGCAGGCATCGCTACGTACCCGCCAAGCTTACGGCAGCCCGTCCTGGATCCGCCGTTACCTGGAGGACCAAACCCCGAACTTCCACAATCTGCCGTCTTTGTCGGCGCGCGTATATGTGGAGGGTGACATAGAGGGTCAGCAGATAGTTCGTTGATAACATACTTGTATCAGTCCCCCTGACTCGAATGACATAGACCTATACACGCCTGCCGGCTCACCTAGTACGCGCCCTGAGAGAGACCTCCCTCCGCACCTCCCACCGCTCGACGACTTACCGCGACTCGCCCCCTCGACGCACGGACCACTACCCTCTTCCTTGCGCAAGGCGACGTCACCTCTCCCGCTCTCTACGCACCTGAGACGACTGATGCATCGTGTACCCGCGCTACCGCGACCGAGAAAGGAAAAACGGTGCTCCGCCAACCGGTGGACGGCCCATCTCGCTTCCCGTACGATGACGCTGCTGACGGCCCGCCCCCCCTTGTTCGCTCTCCCTCTATCCTCCACCCCCGGCCTGTACACTTTGCCCCCGGCCCTTTCCACAACGCACATCCTGGCTCGATTGCCCCGCTCGCACCCGCTCCCGCTCCTAACCAACCCCCAGCGGCACCTGCTGGACCTATCGCCCCGCTCGCGCATGCGCCTGGTCTGCCGCCAGCGCGCATGATGACACGCACTCCCCCGGGCGGGTGGCATGCGATCCAAGGCGACGATCTCGATTGGGCCTACCGTAACATCCTACAATCGCAGATCGACGAGTGGGACCTCGAAGAAGGTGAATCGATCTTTATCCACTTCTTAGGACAGGGCAGCGAGGACAAAGGCCAACATGGCCGTCTAACGATGGCAGAAAACATCTTCCACTCGCGTCTGAAAGCCCCGAACGCGAGGATCACACAGCCCATCGCTGCGGTCAAACCCACGACGCCGAACGCCAAGCCCTGGTTCTATCGCGTCAGCAACCTCACAATTGAGCAACGCATCGAGTTCTCGCGCCGCCCCTTCATATCCACCACTGACGGCACCATTGGCGTCTTCACCACATCGCGCATCCCCCCAACCTTCATCGGTGGCTGGTGGCACCCAGAACGCCTCGGTAAGACTGACGAGGAGATCGTCGCCGGTTTCCTGAAAGGCCTCACCTCAAAGGAGATATACGACTTGACTCGCTCGCTCATCGCGGTCGACATCGGCACAGACGGCCGGTGGCGCCACCTCACCGTCGACGACGCCCATCGCCTCGTTCTCAAATCCCTCCGAGTGCGCCAGATCCGGGTACGAGTCGGACGCGACGAGACCGATGAGGAGCCCGTTGTACTCCTCTATATTGAGTCGCCCACCGCCGATGCAAATGGCTGGCAAGCGTTCCGCTCGCGCCTCCGTGAGTTCGCATTTGGCGGGAAATACGCTGGCCCGCCTACGCTCGTGACGCAGGCTTTCTTCTGTCTGTATTGCCACAGCACTGATCACCCGCCTAACTCCTGCACTCTCCCTACGACACCTGGCTGGCATGGCCCATCCATGGACCAGGTCCGTGAAACGATCGCCGGCGCACGTCGCGCCATGGAGGCTGAACAGCGTGCTGAACAGCGAGCAAACAGTGGTGGACGAGGAGGCCGTGGCGGCCGCGGCGGTCGTGCGCGTGGAAATGGACCCCGCGGTCGTCGAAACGGCGCCGGGGCACGACGTGGCTCGCACAATGACTACGCCTAGACATCTACTGTACTTCCTTCGCACGTGTCCCCCCCCGCTTTCTCTTATATACGTCGTTGCTCCAAATATATGTGACCTTTGCGCATGATTTCGCTGGACTCCCCGTAGCCTTTCTAAAACCTCCCCCTCGCCTCGAACAATGTATTCACTGACAACCTGATCGCTGGGACTCGGATGGCCCACACTTACTGACCGCCCTGCGGGACAGGAAAGCCGGACGACCCTGGCGTGATTCCCCAACAGCTCTGAGGGCACTTCTAGACTTGCTCTGGCCGAGAGGCCGCGCTATACCTATAGCATGTCCCCTGAAGAGACCAGGAGTGTCTCTCGCCTCCGATGGATCGTTGTAGTCGGATGTGCGTACCCCAACGGTGAACTTACATATTGAACAACCCCCCACGGACGAATATCTGGTTCCCGGCATACCTCTCCTCCAACCGAGAGAGACCACCGCGTCCCCCGCCCTTGCTGATCTCAATGATCGGATGGAGGAACTCGGCGACGGGGCTACCTCGATCCATACACTCAGTTCGCCCGCCCGAACTGACCGGGATCGCGGTCGACCACCACAGGCAATGCCGTGTCGCACCACTGGGCATTCTGACCGACCCTCTGGACGTCACACAAAGGCAAGCCTTAACATCTGCTCCCTAAATCTAAATGGGAGAGGCGGCCCTGTCGGCCCTCAGAATTGCAAGTGGAACGAGATCAACCAACTTGTTCGGGAGGACCGAATCGGTCTCCTATGCTTACAAGAAACTCACTTGAGCGCTGACGACTCAGACACCGTCAAAAAGCTATATGGCAGGTGCCTAGCCATATGGAACTCACCTTCAACAACGGCGTCGTCACAGCAAGGTGTTGCCATTGTTCTCAACCGCGAACTCGTTGATACAGCTAACGTACACTTCCAAGTACTAGTCCCTGGTAGAGCTGCCCTACTCCGACTCCACTGGCATGCCGAGAAACGCCTCACCGTTCTAAATGTATATGCCCCCAATGCCCCCCGTGATAACGCTGCCTTCTGGCAACTCCTCCTCAGCATGGCAGAGAGAGGCAAATACCAAACTCCAGACATCCTCGCGGGCGACTTCAACATCGTTGAGGAAGCCATTGACCGACTACCAGCAAAGGAGGATAATATCGCCGCCGTCACCAGCTTCCGTGACCTACTACGTCGCTTCCGCCTACATGATGGCTGGCGCACGTCTGAGCCCACCCGTAAGGAATATACGTTTCCTCAGCGAGGCAGTTTATCCTGCTCACGTCTAGACCGGATCTATGCCTCCATGAACCTGATCAATTCCTCCCACACCTGGACGATACGGGCCACAAGTGTACATACCGATCACAAACTTGTCAGCGCTGCCCTTACCACCCCAAACTCGCCTTTCATAGGGCGCGGCCGGTGGACGATGCCACTGCACCTCCTGTCCGACGTCCAGTTCATGCAAGATGCGTCCGCCCTTGGAAAGACCGCGATGGATCGAATGAAGACGCTTACAGACGATACGACACGCACCCCGGGATACTCAATACAACACATACATGCTGCCTTTAAACGTGACATACAGACCCTAGCACGGCAACGTCTCCGAGTGAAAACTCCAAAACTGGCCGCTGAGATTAAACGCCTGACTGCACACCTCGTTGAGATCGAGCGCAACCCTGCCTTCACCACGTCGGCCACACTACTACACGCTGCGGCAGCTGTCAACAACCGTATCCTTGAGCTTGAACGCCGCCGATCCTCGCTCGCAAAACTTAACACCACCACAAGATATGTACTGAACGCGGAACGCGTCACAAAATACTGGTCGATGATTAATAAAGACCGTAAACCCAGAGACGTAATATACTCACTCCGTGACCCGAAGTCCACATCCCCTACTTTCGCTCGACGCTCAGACCGAATGGCGACTATAGCGAGAGACTACCATGATGAGATCCAATCGACGGATCTCCCAAGTTGGTGCCCGGCAGCCTGTTGGAGCAAACGATCCGTACGTCGTACTCAACCGGCTTTCCGGCCTCCTCGTATACCCGCTATCTTTCTTTTATGTACCTTTGCTTACGCGCTGTCCGATGCGCCCGTCCGTTCTCTTATCCCGCCGCGTCCGCCGTGCGCACCCGTACATTCATTACCATACGAGGACATTGATAGTCCATCTCGTTCCTGTTCCTGCCTGACTCGCTCGCCCACTTATACCCTCGCTCGTACGCCCATCGCCCTCAGTCTTGCTATCCCGAGCACGAACTGAGGGTGAGTTAGTTAGTTTGTCTCGTCCTGCACACAGTCACTTACACTACCTCTCGTAGCCGTCGTCTTGACTGTGTACAGGTATGCTTTAATACAACTCAGTCTTGCTATCCCGAGCACGAACTGAGGCCGTCGTCTTGACTGTGTACAGCCCGACGACTCGTGCTCGCCACTGTTGTTGCGTTAGGTTATGAGCCCCGCGTTCTAGCCGTAACAAGACTCACCTTTGCTCGCCTCACTTGCCCATTCCTTCCCTACCCGTCCTAGCCCACTGCCGCCGCTATGACGAGTACGTCACTCGCCGACTACAGCTCAGCTTTCGATAAGCTTGATGCTACGGGGAAGAATTGGTTTACCTTCCGTCAACGCTTCCAAATCGCCGTGAAGCAAAAGGACGCATGGGACCACTTCGATGGGACGTCGCCACGCCCGACCCCTGCCGATGCCGCACACGTCACACCAGCCGAACAGACGACCTTCACAGCCTGGGCGAAGAAGGAGTCGTTAGCGATGTACCTCCTCACTCAGAAACTCCCCGACATTACCTTCACGAAGCACGCCCGGAAGGAGACGGCGGCTGCCATCTGGGCCGCCATCGTCCAGGAGTTCACCTCGAAGTCGATGCTCATACGTGCGAACCTTCGCACCCAGTTCTTGACTATGCGTGCGACATCTGGCGCGAACCTCCATACCGAGCTTGATCGCCTGCGCGTCAAGTACGAGGAGCTTCTGACAAACGATATTAAGGTTAGCGATGCCGAATACGCTGCCTTGGTCATCAACTTCCTTCCCGAGGAGTTGTCGACCTTCGTGTCTCAAATCTCTGCCACCGCGAAGTTCGCCCGTCGCTTCCAGACCACGCCGATCGCTCCGCTACTCGCCGACGCACCGACGGAAGAAGCCCCTGCCCTCGACGCAGACTCTCTGATGGAGATCGCGCTGGAAGAGTGGGACCGTCGTTTTAGTGGAAACCTGAAGGCCAAGGCCAAGCAGAAAGACGCCGGCGTCGCTGCCAGCGTCATGTCGACGGAGAAGCCGAAGGGTCGCGGTCGTGGACCTCAGAAGCCCGTGGGTGTTTGCTGGAACTGCGGAGGGAAGGGCCATCGCCAGGATCAGTGCCCGAGTCCGAAGGAGAATGGCGCGAAGAGTGGTGACTCATCTGGTACGCCTAAGCCTGCTGCTCGAAGTCCAAACCCGCGAAGGGCAAGGACGGCGCTGCCAACGCGGCTGCGGCTGCGGCTGCGGCTGTCGCATCGCTCGACGAGGTTGCTGGCGCGTGGTCCGCCTACGTTCCCTCGCTCGCTTCCTCTGACGAAGGCACACTGCCCGAGTTGTTCGACGACGATGCTCGCTCCGACATCACCGGACTTACCGAAGTGTCGGACACGGACTCGATGCCATCCCTGCAGACAGTGTCAGCTTCGAGCGACTCCGGGTCTGTACGCAACGACCTACCTGCGGATAACGACGAGTTGGACATGCCTGCCCCCGACTCTGTGCCTGTTGCCGCTCGAGCTGCTGTTGTTGCACGCTGGGTCGAAGACGTCTGGGTCGCGACTGATGCCGGACCCGAGCCTGTAACCATCGCCACCTGGATGCGAGCTGTCGAGGAGGAGCTTCGTCTGTTGGAGGATCCGGTTGATGAACCCGAGGATCCCGACAATGTGTATATTACTGCTGCTCCTGCTAGCGCATTCGTCGCTACCGAATCTACCATCGTTGACCTCTATGATTCTGGGGCGAGTCACCATATGTCGCCATATCGAGAAGACTTCCTTACCTTCCACGAGACGAAGCCGCAGACGTTGAACGCTGCCAACCAGCAGCAGTTCCAGGCTACTGGAGTCGGTGACATGGTTGTCTTTGTGCCGAACGACCCATCGCCTCGTTCGCCGATCCGCCTGACACGGGTGTTGTACACGCCCGCTCTCGGTTTTAATCTTGTATCGATTGGCCGTATCGACGACGCCGGATACACCACCACGTTCGCCAGTGGGAAGTGCATCATCGCCGACAAGGACGGACGTGCTGTGGGCACCATCCCGAAGTCCCGCGGTCTCTACATGGTAACGCGCACACGCGTGGACGGTTCAGCCAATGCCGCTGCCTCAGTTGAGAAACTCACTGTCATGGACCTACATCGTCGCCTAGGCCATATCGCGCCACGCGCCATCCGTGAGCTTGTGTCGAGTGGTCATATCCTGGGGGTGCCCTGGTGCCCTCCGACGAGCCGGAGACATGTGATGTGTGCACGCGCGCGAAGCTGACCGCAAGCACGTTCCTGCTGTACGCGAAGGTCAGCGTGCGGAGGAGATGGGGGAGGAGATACATTCGGACCTGTGGGGTGCAGCCCGTACCACTACAATCGGAGGTCGGAAGTTCTACATCACCTTCACCGACGATGCGACACGATGGACGCTACTCTATCTGCTGCGGCTGAAGAGTGAGTCGTTCACAGCATTCAAGGCGTGCGAAGCCTGGCTCGAAAACCATCACGGCAAGCGCATCAAAGCCTGAACACTGATCGTGGTGGAGAGTACCTGAGCGACGAATTTAAAGCTCACCTTGAAGCTCGTGGCATCGCACACAAGCTATCTGTGCACGATACGCACGAGGAGGCCGGCGTGTCGGAACGCCTGAACCGCACGTTGATGGAGAAGACCCGCGCGATGTTGATCGCGGCGGAACTCCCGGCGTTCCTCTGGGGCGAGGCCGTGATGCACGCGGTCTGGTTGAAGAACCGCACGTCGACGAAGGCGCTCGACGGTAAGACACCGTTCGAGGCTGCCAACGGACACCCGCCGCGACTGACTGGACTGCCAGTGTGGGGTACAGTGGTGTGGGTACACGACACGTCGACTGGAAAGGTTGGCGAGCGCGCGAAGGCGGCGCGCTGGGTCGGGTACGACGCCCAGAGCAAGGGACACCGGGTGTACTGGCCTGAGGGTCGGCGCATAACAGTCGAGCGCAACATCCGCTTTGGCAAAGCGGATGCCCCTCCTGTCGTCACCGAGGATGTCGAGCTTGAGGGGGAGTCGGAGCCTGATGACAAGCCCGAATCCGACGCTGATGAGGAGAGCTCTGCTGGCGAGCAGGAGCCTCCCATCGCGACCGAGCCATCCACCCCGCCGTCGGCCCCGAAGACGCTCGAACCGCCGCCAGCGCCGCGGCCGGTACGTGTGCGAAAGCCGTCGCAAAAGGTCAGCGACATTCTCGAGGGCAAGAGCGCGGACGACGTACCGCGCGGTGTCCAGCTCCCTGCAGAGGATGCCCCTGCTCAAGCCCTGGTCGCCGAGCTCGTTGAAGAGCTGAGCGGCACCGCCATGGCTGCACACGTCGCCGAGGCTGAGGGCTTGGACCCGCAGTCAGTTGCAGAGGTCGAGAGACGGCCGGAGAAAGAGCGTTGGTGGGAGGCGATGCGTGAGGAAGTTCGTGCGCTTGAATCGCACGGCACCTGGCGTCTCAAACGGCCCCCGCCGGGCGCGAACATCGTGAGTTGCCGATGGGTGTTTCATGCGAAGAAGGACGCGGCCGGAAGCGTGTACCGCTACCGTGCACGTCTTGTGGCTCGGGGTTCTCACAGGTGCCAGGGGTTGACTTCTTCGACACCTACGCGCCTGTCGCTCGGATGGCGTCCATTCGCACCCTGCTAGCCTTTGCGGCGCGTCACGACTTCGATGTCCACCAGGTCGACATAAAAAGTGCTTACCTGAATGGTGAATTCGAAGAAGATGAGGTCATCTACATGTCGCTGCCGCCTATGCCGCCTGGTTTGAAACTCACCGAGGATAAGACCCTGGCGCTCCGTCTGCTGCGCCCGCTGTACGGACTTCGCCAGAGCGCCCGAAGCTGGCACAGGAAACTTCGAAGTGTTTTGAAGGACCGCCTCCGCATGTCCCCGTGCGACGTGGACCAGGCCGTCTTCTATCGCTCGGAGCGTGGCAAGCTCATTGCGATGGGCGTGCACGTCGACGACCTGACGATTGTTGCGTCAGTCGGTCTAATGGACGAGGTGAAAACGAACTTGCGTAAGGATTTTCAGATCACCGACGAGGGCGAGATCCACTGGATCTTAGGTTTCGCGGTCCAGCGCGACCGTGAGGCACACACCCTGTCGTTGTCCCAGGTCAGCTACATCGAGTCAATCCTCCGCCGATACAACCTCGAAGATGCGCGACCTGTTTCCTCGCCAATGGACCCGCACGTCCAGCTCTCCACTACGCAGTCGCCGCAGACGCCCGCCGAGACTGCGGAGATGCGCAACATCCCGTACCGCGAGGCTGTCGGTTCTCTCATGTACGCCTCACTAGGGACCCGCCCCGACATCACCTACGCCGTGTCGATCCTCGCGCGTTTCTCGCAGAACCCTGGTCGAGCACACTGGGAGGCTGTGAAGCGAGTCTTTCGGTACCTCGCTGGCACGAAGACGCTGAAGCTTACCTATGGTGCGACCTCGCTGGATCTCGTTGGCTATACCGACGCAGATGGGTCGACGCACGAAGATCGCAAGGCGGTCTCTGGGTACGCGTTTATCATCGACGGTGGGGCTGTCTCTTGGGCGTCGAAACGCCAGGAGCTGATCTCCCTGTCGACGACCGAGTCTGAGTATGTTGCCATTACTCATGCGTCGAAGGAGGCCCTCTGGCTTCGCTCGCTCATCGGACAGGTCTTCCGCCCCTTCACCGAGCCCGTCCCTCTCAAATCCGACAACATGTCCGCCATCTCGCTCACCCAGGACCATCAGTATCACGCTCGCACGAAGCACATCGACATTCGTTTCCACTTCATTCGCTGGATCATCCAAGACAAGAAGATGAAACTCTCGTATTGCCCTACTGACGAGATGATCGCCGACACTCTTACCAAGGCGCTTCCGAGCCCGAAGGTCAAACATTTCGCTGTTGCGCTTGGACTCCTGTAGGATCGAGGGGGAGTGTTGGAGCAAACGATCCGTACGTCGTACTCAACCGGCTTTCCGGCCTCCTCGTATACCCGCTATCTTTCTTTTATGTACCTTTGCTTACGCGCTGTCCGATGCGCCCGTCCGTTCTCTTATCCCGCCGCGTCCGCCGTGCGCACCCGTACATTCATTACCATACGAGGACATTGATAGTCCATCTCGTTCCTGTTCCTGCCTGACTCGCTCGCCCACTTATACCCTCGCTCGTACGCCCATCGCCCTCAGTCTTGCTATCCCGAGCACGAACTGAGGGTGAGTTAGTTAGTTTGTCTCGTCCTGCACACAGTCACTTACACTACCTCTCGTAGCCGTCGTCTTGACTGTGTACAGGTATGCTTTAATACAACGTAGTCTTGCTATCCCGAGCACGAACTGAGGGTGACCGTCGTCTTGACTGTGTACAGCCCGACGACCGTGCTCGCCACTGTTGTTGCGTTACAGCCCAAGAGGCCGCGATGGCGAACATCCTGTCTGAACTACCCTCCTCCTTAGACCGAGAAGACCTCGAACTCCTGTCGTGTGACGTCAGCCGAGACGAGGTGAAGCAAGCCCTACGCAGTACTCAAACCGGCCGCGCCACTGGCCTTGATGGTATCCCATACGAATTTTGGTCCGCCCTTGCGAAAGGTGACTCCTCGGAAGGAGCATATAATAGTCTTGATTACCTCACTCTCGTCTTCAATGACATCGAGCGGTACGGCGTGACCCCAGACAATAATTTTGCAGACGGATGGATGTGTCCCCTATACAAAAAGGGAGACAGGCGCGAGATCAGTAACTACCGACCCATCACCCTCCTGAATTCAGATTACAAAATCTACACGAAGGCTCTCACCACTCGTCTCGGCCAAGTTGCCGACAAGCTCATCCATAGCGATCAGGCAGGTTTTGTCCCGGGTCGTCACATCGAGGATCAAACCCAAACTTGTCGAGTCCTCGTCGATTATGCTGAAGCTGTCGACGACAACGGAGTCATCGTTGCCCTCGACCAAGAAAAAGCATATGATAAAATAGACCACACCTATCTATGGCGCACGCTGGACGCCCTTCGCCTTCCTCGCCGTTTTATCAACAAAGTGAAAGCCCTATATGCGAACGCACATACCCAAGTCATTATCAATGGAGAGTCTAGCTCTCGCTTCCGGGTAACCCGAGGCGTCCGACAAGGTGACCCTCTATCCTGTCTACTCTTTGACCTGGCGATTGAACCTCTCGCCTCCTCCCTTCGTCGGTCAGACATCCATGGCTTCCACATACCCGGCGCGGCTGATCGGCTCGTGACGAAGCTCTTTGCAGATGACACATCCACATTCCTGCACCAGGATGACGACTGGGATCAGCTCTGGCGTGTACTCTCTGACTGGTGTACAGCATCCCGCGCCAAATTCAATGACGGAAAAACCGAAGTCATCCCCGTTGGATCAGAATCCTACCGCCATTCTGTGCTCACAACTCGTTGCCTGAACCCCACCGATCCTGCTTCTGCACCCATCCCTCCACATGTCAGAATAGCTTCCGACGGCGAACCTGTGCGAATTCTAGGTGCATGGATAGGCAACACTGTCAGCCAAGTTGGCGTTTGGGCTCCAGCTCTCCAAAAGATACACACCTTCCTTGACCGATGGGGCAAATGCAGACCATCCATGCTAGGGAAACGCCATATTGTACAGATGGGGCCGGGCGGCATCTCCCAGTATTTAACGGTAGTACAGGGCATGCCACCCTCCATCGAAGCAGAACTCACGAAGGCCATCCGCGTGTTCATGTGGGGCAGCGATACAATCCCTCCTATAAACCTTTGCACCCTCCACAAGCCTGTCAAGCAAGGTGGCCTCGGCCTCCTGGATATCAAAGCACGGAACGAGGCTATTAACCTCATGTGGCTCCGCCGCTACCTCACTCTGGATAGCGACCGTCCGGTCTGGGCTTTCGCTATGGACGCCATCATAAGCAAACACGCGACACGCGACGCAGGCGCGATACGAGCCAAAGCCCAAATCAACACTTACCTCCAGAACTGGAGTCCGGCACTCCATGCTAGGTCAGGCCTCCCGTGGTACATACGGGACATGCTCTCCGTAGGCCGTAAATACGGCGTACACCTCGAAGCCCTGAGGGTAGAACAGTCGCTTAAGACCCAGCTGCCGATCTGGTACCATATTGGAGCCACCAAGGTCTTACGCAAGCTAAACAACACTAAGATCAGTGACTGCCTGCGAGACCACCACGATATCGCCCTCGTCACTGACCTTCTCAAACTAACCCAATTCACCTGTGGCAACTCACCTCCGAACCGGATGCCGCTCTGGGGCACGAACAACTGCCCCTGCCCCGAATGCGCACTCTCGCGTGTGCGCGGCTGCACCCACCCAGCAAAGTGCCGCGACGCCGCTTTCCGTCTCCTTAGTGAGATTGGACCCAAGTGGAACCCCTTATCCTCAACCCATAATGATGGACTCACACTTACAACCAGGCGACGTTCCAAGAACCTCGGGGCAAACGTTGACGAGGGCGACACCCTCGTTTTTGATCCATCCGTCACGGCTCGCGGCGGCCTCTCGGAGTCCTTCCGCGCTTTCACCACCTTAAACTCCACAACATGGCCCCCGTCACACCGCATGCGCCCCGGAAGAGTAGTACCGGAAGAAGCCACAACGGTATTTCTCTTCCGCACTCTACCCAACCCTGCAGGGCGTGCTGAAAACGATCCGCCTACTACCCCTCCACCCTTGCATGCTGTATGGTTCGGAGTGGCAGACCCGCGGAACGTAACTCTCTGGCCAATACGAGACGCCTCCACACATTCGGAAGTCCCCGCCGACCTCGTCGCGGCAATCTACGCTGTGAACGTCACGCCGCTTGATGCCCCTCTGCACTTCCTCAGCCCCTCGGATGACCTGGTTGAGCTCCTCTTCGACAAGACCCCGCTATGGGAAGACCAAGGCTGGATTGATGTCGCCTCTTCTGACTATATGCGGGCCCTCCTGAACAGATTGCGTCAACGCTGTGCTCCCACCTCCTTCGGAAAAATCACAACACCCCACCTCTGGAAGGCCCTTGAGTCCGCACGGCAATATATGTCCAACGCGCTTCAACCTTCCCTCCCCCAGACGGGCCCGATTGACCTGGCACGCGACCCCCGCTTCGACGTCTCTGGAGCTCGACTTTGCTCTCTAACCCAAGCCCTGGCCTACAAAGGTATCATTGCCTGGACTGCTGCACCTGTACGCGCAGTTACGGCCAAGAATATTGATGCACTACGGACTCACAACGCTGCTAGTATGGGCACCCTCTCGGACAGCGCACTATGGACTAGCTTGCGCCACCGGGACTTCAGCCGAGCTTTTTCGATCTTCCTGTGGAAAAGTGTACATGGTGCATTACGATGCGGGCCTTACTGGCTCAAGATCACCAACTACACCACCCGCGCGAACTGTAGTTTCTGCGGCCTTCTTGAGACGCCGTCCCATATCCTTTTTGACTGCACGGCAACCGGTCAAGAACTTATCTGGCATATAATTGCCACACTGTGGAAGAAGAAGGGCCTTCCTTGGCCGGCCATCTCCATCCTCGACGTCCACTCTCTCGGACTGAAGCTCTGGACAGATCAGAAAAGCCGTGTCAGGATTGGCGCGACACGCCTCTGGCGGATCCTGATTTCGGAGGCCTCTCACCTCATCTGGAAACTCCGCTGTGAAAGAGTCATCGGCCACTCTGATGAGCCAGGCTGGGAGCATAATGACCAACAAATCCGACGACGCCTCGCCTACACATTGAACAACCGTCTCCTAATAGATGTTGCCGCAACTCAGAGGAAGTTCGAAAAGTTGGCGCGCAACTCCGAACTCGTGATCGCAACGTGGAATAGTACGATCCACGATGAACTAGCGCTCCCGGACGACTGGACAAAGTGCAAAGGTTTTTTAGTGGGTAGTGTCCCGGTTTTACGTCTCGATTTGAGCCCATTCAGCTGTCTCATGGAAGGTCATGGTACAGCCGACGCGCAGTCTCATGGAATGGGATGGGATGGGCCGACCTCGGCCGACCGCAACTGTCTCATGGAAGGTGATCAAGTCGGCCGAGCGCAAGGCGGGCAAAGCGGCACAAGGCGGGCAAGGCGGTGCGTGGGACGATTGGCTGCCCCAGACATTCTCACCCAGCTGACCATTCTGTCTCGCCCAAGACAATGCACTATCCGACTCTCGGCTGGAGAAAATCTGTAGCCGACCACCGCCTTGATTCAGCCGACCTTCTTGTCTCGCCCAAGACGATGCACTATCCGACCGTCGGCTGCAAAGCTTTTGCAGCCGACCACCGTCTTGATCCAGCCGACCTTCTTGTCTCGCCCAAGACGATGCACTATCCGACTCTCGGCTGGAGAAAATCTGTAGCCGACCACTGTCTTGATTCAGCCGACCATTCTTGTCTCACCCAAGACAATGCACTATCCGACCGTCGGTTGGAGAAGGTTTGCAGCCGACCACTGTCTGGATTCAGCCGACTGTCTTGTCTCACCCAAGACAATGCATGAGCCGAGCATCAGCTGAGGTATCTTTCCTGGCCGATATCCGTCTTGACTCAGCCGACCTTCTTGGACCTTCTTGACCTTCTTGACCTTCTTGACCTTCTTACTCACTAAGACCTTCTTGACCCAAGGTAACTAATGGTTGGCTCATCTTGGTCAATACCAACGTGTTAATGAGGTATCTAGGTGGGCAAACACCAATGAGGTTTCAATGTGGAAAGTGTCAAGGAGGATATCAAAATGGCGAGCATATTGAAGAAGCCTTCTTGGAGGTGTCAAGACGGACAAGTGAAGACAGACAAATCAAAACGGGCAAGTTAAGACGGACAAATTAAGGCGGACAAGTTAAGACGGACAAGTTAAGACTGACAAGTTAAGGCTGACAAGTTAAGACGGACATTCTCAAGACGGACATTCTCAAGACGGACATCTCAAGACGGACATTGTCAAGACGGACATTGTCAAGACGGACATCTCAAGACAGACAAGTTGAGATGGACATCTCAAGACGGACATCTCAAGACGGAGAGCTCCTTGGAGGTATCAAGGCGGACTGGTCAAGAAGCCTCCTTGACACTCACCGTCTTGAATCGTGATAACCTCCTTGACATTGACAAGGCAGCAAGTATGCATCTTGTTTCTTGACTCGACTTGAATGGTATGTACGTGCAAAACTGTATGCTGTTTGCTCATTGGTTTGGGGCCAATGGTGTGGATGTATTATTGAACATGTCCAATATATGTTTGTACCGTGACTGTGTCTATAGACAGTCATTACGGTGTTGAGGTGCAATACACCATGTAGTAACTGTATATCAGCAAATAGAGATACAATGGTAAGACACTGAGGTATTCCTTGTTCTGTTAGAGTGATTCCTGAATGGCTCGCAGCAATTGACAATGATGATACTTCGCTGATCTACTGTATTTGCTGTGGAACTACATGTAGTAGATTAGGGAAGCCACTCACGTAGGCCATTAGCCTCATTGTTGTGTATGTAAAGAGCACTTTGGCTTTGTGTAATCTCAGCTCGTATGGGAAGAGGATCTCAGGATATGTTTCAAAAATGACATGTTGTTTGGAGATATTGAGAGGCATGTGGATTAAATCTCAGCTTCTGCAAGACAATTGTTTGAATCAAGTACATACAGAAGTTGTATTCATGCTGTGTCTATGGTACATGTGGCTGCTGGCAATTCTCTGAAGCAATCTGGCAATGTTATAGCTTGAGATAGCTAAGAAGGTTATACATGGAGAGCATGTCTTAGACAAACACACCCCACGTTCAATTCTCACAGAATTCTATACAAGCCATGTACTACACATAGTCATGCTTGGTACAAAGTCTCATAGCATATGGTGGCTCAGAGGTGAAGTTATAAAGAGAATGAGACCATCTCGGGTGACTCGGGGACATGGCCGAGGCAATGTCCGAGGGCAAAACACTGGAGAGTGTTCACGCATTTAGTGGGTGCTCTGACCACTATCATTGAGTTCGTGTACATATCTTCTAGTTGTCCACTCCTTTGTACTTCTATACTATTGAATGCTGATAGAGGTTGTACTGAACATATGATCATGACATCCCGAAGTCTATATCAAGTGTAACTGCAGTACAGTTACGAAGAGTGTATGTGCATGTTGGGCCAACTGACAACGAGTTTCATTGCTCAAAGCGAACCATCACATCCATACAGTGACAGAGTATGAATTTGGCAGTGTTGGCCATAGGCAAGCTCGACTGGAACTATATTGAGCAAGCCTTATAGCAACAGATCACACTTCTTGTCCATGCTCTCTCTCGTCTGAAACTGCCCACAATGCTGTTAACAAACAAATCTAGTTTATATCGGAAGTTTGATCTAGTTTGTAGGCTCTTACAGTTTTAGTACACCGAGACTTCAAACAGACAAGAAAGCGAGCACAACTAGAAGGAGAATGTAACGGTGGGTGATTGATAATGCAAGATGGCAGGTAGGCGAGCAAGACGGTGGGTGTGCAAGACGGCGGGTGTGCAAGACGGCAGGTGTGCAAGACGGCGGGTGTGCAAGACGGTGAATGTATAAGATAGCAGGTGAGACATGCCGCACCCGCAACGAGCGTACCCGTATCCATGGGTGGTGCTACCTGTATCCTACCCCGGTTCACTGTGGGTTGGCGTACCTCGGTGGTCCCTGCGCGGGTTTGGGCTCGTTGCCCGCGCCCGCCGCCGTCCTCCTCGCTCGCTTAGGCTTACTCATCCCTGCTTCTTACGCGCCATCCGCACGCCCTCCCACCTGCTCGGCGCTGTGCCCACGCCCACGGCGCGCTCGTCGGCTGCATTTGTACGCGGGGCACTGGCCCTGTGTGCTCGTGGTCGACGTGTTCCGCACACCCCGGCCCTGTCCATTGTCTGTCCCGTCCTGAGCTCATGCGCGCGCGCGTTTGTTGGCCGTGTTTGCGTGCTGGGCGGTTGCCCAGCGCACACGCGGTCGGCGTGTGCTCCCGCACGCCCGCTCGTCCGCCCGCCGCCGTTCATCGGCCGTGTCTGCACACGGGGCATTGGCCCCTGGGTACATGTGGTCGCCTTCCGCGTCGCGCCCCACGTCGCCGCCGCCTTCTGTGCCTACCGTTAGTGATTTCGCTTGCGTGTGTTTGCACTCACATGTGGTGGGCAATTCCCCTCGCCCGTCATGCCCATCGTGCGATACATCGCCGCGTCGCATACTCGCCTTTTTGCTCGTCCGGGGCCCGCGCGCGCAGTGCGCTTGTTGGCCGTGTTTGCATCCGGGGCAGTCGCCCTATGTGCGCCGTCCGCCTTCTAAGGTATCCGCTCACTCGCTTGGCTGCTCGTCGTCTTGCCCGTCTACTTGCCCGCCGTCTTGCCCGTCTACTTGCCCGCCGTCTTGCCCGTCTACTTGCCCACCGTCTTGTCCGTCTACTTGCCCCCCCCCCCCTGCCCACCTGCCCACCCACTGACCTGCCCGCTGACGCGCTCGCCTTGCGCGCGTTCGTTGGCCATGTTCGTGTGCCGGGTAGTTGCCCAGCGCGCGCGCGGTCGGCGTGCGCTCCCGCCCGCCCGCTCGTCTGCCCGCCGCCGTTCATCGGTCATGTCTGCGCAAAAGGCATTGGCCCTTGGTACACGTCGTCGCCGTGCGCGTCGTGCAGCACGTCGCCGCCACTTCCTGTGCCTGCAGTCAGTGATCTCACTCGCATGTGTTCGCACTCACGCGCGGCGGGCAACGCGCCCGTTTTGCCCGTCATGCGACACATCACCGCGTGTGCGTACCCGTCTTTTTGCTCGCCCGTCTCACCACTCGTCCACCCCCGCCCTGCTTGTGCTTGCACTGTCTGGGCGCCCTTGTACGTTGCCATACCCTGTGCCCGCTGACCTCTCGCACTCCTCCCAGCTCGTCGTTGTGTCCGCGTGTTGTGTCCGCGCGCTGTGTCCGCGTGCCATGCGGTGAGCTTGCATCTGGGGCAGTTGCCCTATGTGCGCCCGTCGCCGTCCTCGCGTGTTGTCTCACCTGAGACCGTGCGTGGGGGTACTCACCTGCTCGAGTTGCCCGCATCCCCGCAGTCTTGACGCCCTCGTGGCGTTTCCGCGTGCCCTTGTGGCACTGCATGTGGCACTCCAGACAGTAGGCCGGTGAATTGGCAGGTGAGAAAGACGGCAGGTGAGCAAGACGGCAGGTGTGCGAGACGATGGGCGTGCAAGACGGTGGACGGCGGGTGAGTAAGACGGCAGGTGTGTGAGACGGCGGGTGTGTGAGATAGCGGGTGAGACGATAGACCGGCGAGACGGCGTGCGAGCAGGACAGCAGGACAGCAGTGGGGCGAGGGTATGCAGGCGATAGGGTAGGCGGGCAAGACGGTATGAGCGCAAGACGGCGAGCGACAGGTCGCCTGGTGAATGAGAGGGCAAGGCGGTGCATGAGAGTGAGATCTTGAGAGCTGACGCACTGACACGTTGAAAGTCTCCGAGTCAACGCGTCTGAACGCGTGCCCAGTTGTGACGCGCCGCGCTGCACTGCGCCACGATCGCACTGTGCCAACCGACGCTTTGAGCACGCAAGAAGAGCCCAGCCGACCGTAAAAGTATTGATTACTAGGATCACTACGGTACTGTATACATCACCCCCAGCCAAACACATTATACACCTATGTCGGCTGCACGATCCTCATCGTACAAGCCGACGCGTCGGCCGCCGTCGACTCATGCGATGGTATTCCGCGAGACTGCGCGTCGGCTGTAGGATGAGGATCGGTCAGAAAGCGCTGCTTGGTGTGTCGATTTTGACCCGGGTTGACGAGTCCCACACTGACTGTATAGTCGTGCGTAAAAGCATTTTTCTCCTTGGATTGCACTAACGAAGACCCGTTCGCAAGCTGGATACGTC